ATAGCTAGAAACCTTTTCAAAACAAGCATAGCTTGCATTTTTCCCTATTTGATTACAAAACCAGAAGCAAAGCTCGTAAATTCCGGAACAAATGACAGCATTTTTGTACTAAATGTTTTTTCCAATGGCATTGTAAAAATCTGAGAATGAAGTTAAGCAGGCTGTTGCAATCCACCTGCCCACAAGCCAGCACTGCACCGCCTGGGTGAGGAGGACCGTTGCCATTGCAGAGACAGGGCTTGTGAAGGCTGCGGATGTGGGAGGAAGGCTGGCACTTACATGCCCCCCAGGGCCAAGCAGAAAGGAAATCATGGCAAGAGACTGAGCAAAGCATGAAGAAGAGGGTAGCAGAGGACATAATTCCATAGTATTACCTGTGTTTTATGATGTACTGTGGTGGGTTGACCCTGGCTGGATTCCAGGTGGCCACCAAAGCTGCTCTGTCCCTCAGCTCTCTCAGGGGAGAGAAAATACAATGAAAGGCTCGTTAGTTGAGATAAGGACAGGAAGAGTTGTTTGTCTCACATATTCTCTCTTTGGCTGCAGTTGCCCAGGTTTTTTGCTTCCTCTTTGATGTGTTCATACCGAGGTGCTACCACCATCGCTGATGGCCTCAGCCTTGGCCAGCAGCAAGTCCATCTCGGAGCCAGCTGGCATTGGCTCTATTGGATGCAGGGGAGGCTTCTAGCAGCTTCTTACTGAAGCCAACCCCTATCGTCCCCCAACTACCAAAACCTGTCCACACATACCCCATAGATGTATGATGAGGGGCCTTGGTTTGCCTCGGTAGCTCTTCCCAGCCAAGCCCTGGGGATGGATATGGAAGTGTTCAAGGCCAGGGTAGATGTGGCCTTGAGCAACCTGCTCTAGTGGGAGGTGTCCCTGCCATGGCAGGGGGGTTGGAACTAGATGATCTTTGAGGTTCCTTCCAACCCAAACCATTCTATGATTCTATGATTCTATGACATGTGAGGGAGCTGTGGCGTGAGGATTGGCTTGGGTTGAATGAAGGCAGCAGCATGGCTCTCCCAAACCAGGCACTTTGCAACTGCAACCTAAGAGCTTAGCACTCTCCTGCAGACCTGTTGTGCAATAACCATGATGTTTGCTCTTTTAGCCACACTTTATGCCCCACAAGAGTGTCCCCCCAAGCAGCATTTAAGTCACAGAGCTGGAGAGGGGCTGGGGCACTGTGCAGCGGCTAGAGGGGGGGCTGCTCGGAGAAGCCCCAGTGCATGCTGTGCTTCCCATGGCTGCAGCCTCCTTGCAGTTAATAACCTGTAACACAACAGAGAGGACAAGGCAAAAATCTCAACTTTGACTGTTGTGGCTGGGTGGATCCAGTAATCTCAAAGCTATACAATGTTTGTGCAAATGTAATATGCTGGGTTTGTGTCAACACAAAAGCTTCTCCGTAAAAAACATATACACACATGTATTTTTCTCTATATCTGAGCATAAATATGTGTGTGTGTGTGTGTACGTATATATGTACATGCTTATATACCCTAATTTTAAAATCCTCTCTCTCCTCAGAGAGACTTACTTTGCTAATGGCTAGTCATGCATGTTAGTAAAAAACTACCATTTTACACTCACGTGCCTGAAGTTAAGCAGGTTTTTCAAGGCATTTAGTTATTTAAAACCTAGAGATGGGTTCCTCATGGTATCATCTACTATTGCTAGTGAGAGTAGCACCACTGGGAGCTTGTTGCAACTCTGCGTGGTTAAGCACCTCTCAGTATTTGATTCCTACCTACATGTTGAATCATGGAATCATACAATGGTTTGGGTTGGAGGGTACCTTAAAGGTCATCTAGTTCCAACCTGTCTGCCATCAGCAGGGATACCTTCCCCTGGCAGGGGGGTTAGAACTAGATATACGTAGTTTGCTTAGGCCTCTTTATTTTTAAATATTAAACTTTTTAAACTCTTTAAACTATTAGATCATCAGTTCTAAAAACATTAGTTTTGAGAAATTTATCACTTGAAGGCTGCAAAAAAAGCTTGCAGTCCTCCTTCTGAAATTCAAGGGATGTTTCCTCTTTTCAATGAATCACACTGGGGAAAACCCCTCCTAACTAATGTATGTATTTTTATTTCCTGCATTACATTTCTTCAATCATCTTATCTGTACATCTTTTGTCAGGGCTGCAAAGGGAACCTTGCATCTTTGTCAAAACTGATCTGCTAGCAGAAATATTATGAGGCCACCTAAGAACCTGCAGTAAAAAGCCAAGAAAAGGGCAAAGAGGCAAATACTTCTAAAAGAATTATTCAGCGAAAAAAATGTGTGCACATATCATATTTGAGTGTTCAAAGATGTGCTCCTGAAGCGTAATATAGTTGAGTAGTCAGGCATTTTGTAAGGTGGTTACTCCATGTCAAAGAGCAGAGGTACTTAGTCTCCCATTAAAAAAACAGAGAACAACAATAACAACAAAAAGTCCAACCAAAAAAATCAGCTCCTCCTCCAGCAAAACCTCTGCTTATCTGGAGCCCAAAAGGAATCTGCAGATGTATACCCCCTGCTTGAGAACAAAGTCTTCAGTCACTGGAATGCAATGCTGTAAAAACAAATACTACAAAGCCTGGTAACAGGGGGATGTCTCACTTGCATATTTTTTTGTGACCATCTTGGTTTGCAGAGAAGGGGGTCCCCAAAGCATGTGAGCCAGCAGGATCCCTTTGTACTAGGTCGCTGTCTGTTTGGCCAGATGTCTTCCCAACAGTGAGATAGAAAAACCAGAGCTCTTATTAAAATAAGTTGGGGAAAGGAATGGAAAAAAGCATGTGTCCAGCGAAACGAGGCACATTGTGTCCCATCTGATATTTATTAAACGTTGATCAAATCAGCAGTGAGAAATGCACATCATGCGGAAGTGACCCTGGCTCCCTGGGTTTGGAAGTGAGTGACAAATGTCTGGGAGCAGACCAACATTGAAAACACGTGTACAGGACACAGAGAGGAGTGTGCTGCTCTGGGAGCAACAATAACAAATGGGGAAGAGCTGACTTTAGCCGAGAACCCCCTTTTGCAAGGGGTTTACATACATGCTGTCAAATGGCATGGGTATGTAGGGTCTTTCCCTATACATTTATTCTGCAGCTTTCTAGATGAGAGGTTACACTTCTCGTGGTAGAACACTGCATTTTGTGTAAGCCATGAAAGCCAGCAGTTGAGTGGGTGAAACTGGGAAGTTTTGTCAAATGAAAGCCCAAGCATGGACTTCTTCAAGTCCTGACTCTCAGCTTTTGTGATAAACCTGTATAATTTTATGCCAACTGGCTGGGTTTTGTGTAATCACAACTTCTCCCATCTGTTGTTGCTTAATGTTTTGGCTCTCGTGTCTTTTCAGAGCAACCCTTCAATAGAAATGTGTCCTCACAGCATGGACTAAATGTATCTCCTGTATCAGAACAATCTTATTTGGGCTTGGTCCTTAAACAGGGTAGTGAGGAAGAGCAACAGGGCAAGCTGAAACCAGGCTCTGTACTTGGGGAGGTTGTGGAGACCTGATTACACTGTAATTCATCCCTATACAGAGAGGGGTGCATTCCTGGCTTTTACCTTTGCTCGTAGCCTGGATTATTGAACTGCACAGAAGGACATAAAAATGTGTCTTCCAAATCTTTCCTTCAAGGTACCTCTTTAGTAATCCTTAGTATTTTTATACGTTCAGTAAACTAGAAAGTCAGTTGTATTTGCAATAAAGAGTAAATTTAACAGCTCTGTAAGACTTTACTGTGTCCATCTCTAGGCAAAGGAAAACAAAGGAGCTTGTTAGAGCTCCCTGGGTTTTGACTCCAGCCCTGGACCTGGGGCACGTTGGATGAGGGTAGTGGGATTTCGATGGCAGTCAGATACAGTTTTAAGCTGACAGAAAGTGCCAGCAGGCAATACAATACGCAGCTCCAGCCCAGCGTAGTTAATGGGATCGCTCCTGCCTGTATGATCGCTTTAGTACGCTGTGTTTATGTTACTGATACCAACAGCACCAGACTGTTAAAGGATGGAAAGGTCTGGTTTTTGTTGGGGTGCTGTTCCGATGTCAGTTTGAAATACGCAGAAAGTAAAAGTTCCGAAAAGCCAAAGTGCTGTTTTATTGAACCAGCGATAGAGAGGACTGAGGCAAGTGAAACAAGATCCTTATGAAACTTTGGAGCATACACGATGCTAGATGCTGAACTGCAGTACATCCAGTGACATCAGTGAAGTTGCAGCTCATTACACAGGAAGCCAGACTACAGTGACAGAAAACAGGTCATGTCATAAAATGAGTAATCTTAATATAAGAATGTAATCAAGTGAAACTTTTCTATGTGCAGTTGCTGTCAAAGGTTTTACTTCAGTTTCTGCCTTTCTCTGTGCTTTGTACCTTTGCAGTCTATCAGTCTTCCTAGTTACAGATCTGTCCCTGCTTCCATTAACGTTCAAATAGGGAGGATCAAGCTTTCTGTTATCCGTGTATTTAGAAGGTGAATGTGATGGGCTTTGTGGCCCAAGCTTCTCATGTTTTCTGATATGTGGGATGTTCAAAGACATACAGAATTGGAATCTGAATTTTAAAACCCTGGGCGGGGGAACCTTTCATTGAGCACACAGAGGCTTAAAGAGCCCACTAGTACTAGCTAACAGCAGCAAAATGGTGCTTCAGACGCCACAAGTTCCCGCTGTGAAATAATTTCAGTTTCTGAATACCCAATGCAAACCCTTAGAAAACTGCACTTGCCCTCTCCAGCTTTTTCAGCAAGCAGAGCTTCCCCTCTAGCAAACTCCTTGAGACTATCAACCAAAGAAAACCAGCCCACACATAAGGATCCATAAGCAAACTTGACAAATTGTGGTGCAGAAGTTATAATCCTTCCAAATCCAAGTCACCAATAAATGGGCTAAGCAACTGCTCATCTCTGTGCCAGCTCCCTTCCTTCCCACCTGCACAGGCAGGAGAGAAGCCTTTTTCCTCTGGAGTTTCTGTTCTTGGGTTTGTGCTTACAGGTTTTGTCTTATTTCCCCGTGATGTTCCTGTTTCTGAAAAAAAAGAACCAGTGGTTCCCAACTGACATTATACCTGAAGCCCAACAGACCCAGGTCTATGACATCACTTTCATTACATGGCAACAGAACGTGACCTCATAGCTGAAAAAATTTAGAGAAAACATGAGATGACATAATGTGGAAAGCGGGCTGACCTATGAGAGATGCATTTCTGCCTTAGCTACGGCTACTGTATGTGCATAGGGAATTGAGGAAAATGCCTTGTCAAATAAACTTTGTATAAATCCTCTTCCTGAGTTGCTCCAGTATGGTAATCCTTCCTGGAAGTACCCTGGGCTTAAGGAAGTCACTGGAAAATGTGGTGCTTTGGGAGAGAGAAATACAGTTGACTTAACTTGATGTGTCGGTCACCCATCCTCCATGAACCAACGGGAAGTGGCCTGTGCTTTTCTCTTAAAAAATGAAAAATAAAAAGTGCTCTGCAGAAGGTCATGAGTTGGGGAAAGTAAAATCAGCTGTGGGTTAGGCCTCAGGGGAAATATAAGTCACTCATAAAAAGCTGCGGAGCAAGTTTTGATTAGCTAAGTAATCTGGTACATAGAATTTATTAGAGCTTAAAGCTTTCCTGTGGGACTCCCCTAATAGTACACAAATAGAGTAAAATATCAAAGAAATGCACTTTCTGACAGACATAGAAAGCTACATTAATCCTGGCCTGCTTAACACACATCAGAAGGAGGGATAAATCCCACCCATTCATTCCAGCACAGTGGTCCTGTTTTCATGTTTTTCCATGTTGGTGTTTCTGATGAATTTCTTGGTAACTTAACCAACACTTCCAACACTCTCAAGCTGTTCCCAAGGAGCACATGAAGAAAAGAGGAATATTGCTTTCTTAATAGACTCAAAGGTATCAAACCATTCTTCAAAAAGTTCAAATATAAAATAGTAAAGGCCTGTTTTCTCTCATCAGCTTGAGGCCCCTTTCCTTAAACTTGTCCACAAAGGGAGATTCACCAGCATTTTTCTGTCAGTATAGATGTACCACTAGCTTTACCAGTATAGCACCCCTTTCTTTTATGTGGAAATAGTATTCTCCAAACCACCCAAAAATAAGAAAAAAGTCTCTCTTAGTATGGAAAGAAAGTGTTCACATGGTAGCCATTTGTGGTAATGGTTATGAAGCAGGACCAGTACTCCTACCAGGTTTTCACAATGTTATTTTATTTCTATATTGTCCTTTTGCCAGAGCATTTACTGTCTTCTACTGTCCCTGTAGGGAATCTGAATGCTAAGAGGGATGCCTGACAACAAGGATGCTAATAAACATTTGACTTCCAAAGCTCACCATAGTCTTGTTAGCACAGTTGGAAAATAGTCCTGTCTCTCAGGAAAGGCACAGGTTTTCCAGTGAAGCAGAACCTACTTCTCTTCCACGTGCTGAAATCCCAAAGTGATTGTATCACTAAGCTGATGCTTTGACCACTGTGGAAGCTGTCCTGGCAGAATAGGGCAGATAGGCACCCAAATATCTGTTATGTAAATAATTTGTTCTCTAGAAAATGGAGGAGAGGAAATGGGGAGATAAAACCAGCTGTTCTTTGCCATTGTTTTAAAATTCTTAAAATCTTCTTTTGCAGGTATTCAGGAGGGGACTCAATGTACCAAATGTAAAAATAACTGGGCACTGAAGTTTTCCATCATCTTATTATATGTTTTATGTGCCCTGTTAACAATCACAGTAGCCATTCTGGGATACAAAGGTATGTATGCATGGAGCCCAACATTTCACTTTCAGCCAAGCATCCAAGATCATTTCCACATATAAGATAGACAGGCAATTTATCACATCTCACCTTCAATATCAATACGTTGTCAATGCTGGCTTTTTGTACACACATAATGACAAACTACAACCTTAGATTTTTACTTTCAAACAATTATGAATTTTTGAAACTAGATTAGCCATTTGAAAGAAAATAAAAAAGTTGGAACAAAATGATCATTCTTCCACCATGAAGGAGTAGTAACTGGAAGACTCAAAGCTCTGTAACATTTGCTATACCTAGATTTCATTGAGCTTTTTCACATATATTGCATGTCTCCAGAATAAATGCCCTTCTTAATGGGAGATCCAGGAACAGTCTTACTAATGTAAAATTTATCACAGGAACAAAGTGTAGAATCAATATTACTTTGAAATACCCAATGTTTTGGGTATCTACCTACAATTATTTTGATGAACAAAGATGCTTAGACACTTTTGACAATTATTTCAAGGATTCTGGTAGTTGGGCAACCCAGTTAATGGAGAAAATTTCATTTGTGCAAGTCATTGGTTGGGCTCATTGGGAAGCATGCCTTAGAATTCCCATGCATCTTTAGCACTAATTAAGCGTAGCCACTTATACATTCTTATCAATGTTTTGATATCAATGCCAGGTTGTTGTGCAGTCACAGCTATAATAAGTTAAATAAGTAAGACCTGAGTTTCTGGTAAGAAAAAGAAAGTGAGTAACATCATCATGAGTATTATAGCAGGACGTTGCAGCATGTTGTGGAGAAAACCAAGCTAGCTTTAGACTAGCTGGTTGAATATGGCTCTGAGGGTAGCTTCAAAATCCCTCCAAGAAGCTGGGTAAATATTCATGTGATTAGCATGCAGTGTGTCCTGTGCCGCCAACAGCTGCGCTTGTAGCAGAGCTGACATCACCTCTGGTCCTTTGCCAGTGAAAGAAAAGGAAATTGTAGAAATAGAAAGGGATAAATACTTATTTAAGAGGATTTGGTACAGTTTTGAGTGGGAAGAAAATGAAAACTACTTGGTTTTGATGGAAGATTTAGCCAGGGAGATGAGAGAATGTAAAGGACAGATAGAAACACATAGGTATTCCTTTTTCATGATAAAGCAGATGGAATGTGGCAAATAAAAATCAAATGTAAAGAAATGCAGAACATATATAACTGATCAGACATTCTCCTGAAGAATGTGTAACTGATCTCTGAAAGAGGAAAAAAGACTTTCTGGGATTCAAATACTTGCTCTTGATCTATAAAGATAAGATCATTTGGTTATATGGACTAGGGGAGGACAAACTTAGGCTTTTGGAGATATAAATCTGCTTACAGAAGATGAGGATGGGATCCTTCTGGGCTATAACCCAGCCACTAAACACCTGGAATTTAGCAGAATTTTCCTTAAGAGAGTTTTACACAAGGCCATCAGTTGTGGGGCACACCAGAAGACTCAGACCTCACTTGGCATCAGAAACAGCGTATCAAGTTGGAGGGACTGTTGCTCTATATCCTGCTTTGGCAGACGTTTGTTCATGTGTGTGTAGGAAGTAATAGCAATAGGGAAACTGTCCAAAAGATCTCCTTGGGAGAGGGAGTTCCTCATTTCAATCCCCAGTTTTCAAGCTGTTTTCTCTATGGGGGCCTCTACCACTTGCCCCAGGCTTTGCTCTCATCTTGAGGCCCCACCTTTACTACTCCGATTTCTAAACCTCCTTCTTGTACTGAGTGGTCCTTGGTGCCTGGCTGGGGGCTAGTCTTTCTGTCATCGCAGTACCAAGCCACATCTATCCAGGGCAAGGACAAAAGAATTTCCTCTCCCACAAAAAAAAAAAAAAAAAAAGGAAAAGCTTTTAGATCTGTACAAAAGCTCTTCAGCAGACTGAAAGTTGTTTCCTATTTTGCTTCCTTGTTACAATGCTTTGTATTTTGCAGTGGTCTTATTTCTATCCTTTTTTTTTTTTTTTTTTTTTTTAAAAAAAGATTGTATCCCCAAAAAAAAAAAAAAAAAAAGGGAAAAGATTATAGAAAGGTGGATAATGCCCATCTTGCTCACAGACGGTAAGACATTTTGGTGACCGCTGCTCCACCGCTCACCGACTTGGTGACTGCTCCACGTGAATGCCAAGGGGAAAACATGTATGCTGGAGAAAAGTCCTGTTTAATCCAAGATATCCCTTCTGTAACACCAAGCAGCAAATGGTCTTATGTCAGGCATTACTTTCGCCCTTTTTACCTGCAGCTTAAGAGCTTCGTCTCCACAGTGTCTAAGTGCTAATTTGCAGGGAAAGCATGAGTTAGACAAAACCCCAGCTGGTGGTACATATTCAAAGGAATTATTGCAATATTTTCGATCGTTGAGAAAGAATTAGGCCTTAAAGGAAGAACAAAACTCAAAATAAAATTTTATAGAGCTCTTGAACTCTCAACTCTCCTCTCTGCATCAGAGTTTGGCTTGTCTTTTTTATTGCAATATTACACTGAAAGAAGGAATTCTGCTGGCATCAGGGATTCTTTCAGTCTCTTAGCTAAGTTTCCATTAAATTTGCCTCCCACACTTATGTTTATAAAGCCCAAAACTACTTTTAAAACTTTCATTTCCTACGTGGTATTTAGATATCCTTTGTGATTTAAAACGTTAAAACTACTAATCAGTGGATTAAATATGGCAGGCAAAAAAATAACTCAATGGGAGGCAAAGTCAACATAGAACAAACCTCCAAACTGGTGGTAAAAATTACATAGTAGGTTGGAGAAACCTGAAACCAAAACATGAATTAAACATCAAGGTCATGAAGGAATAACAAGCCAAGTTTACTATTAGTTTGCTTCGAGAAGACATACTCAATGGTTGTTAAAAATGTTGATAAAGCAATCTGTAGTTTTTTACACATTTTCTTAAATGCAAAATACAAAGGTACATTTTTTTCTGATACCAGCCAGTGTTGGATAAGCCTATTGAAGGTGAATGATCTTCCTGTGACTCACACCAGTGAGGGAAGCTACTATGCTCTCAGCTTGAATTTCTGGTAGTTCTCATTCTCTGGTCAGTCCTTGTTTGTAAGTTTCTTGACTAATGTCCACCATGACTTTCATCTACTTCTATTATCTGTCTCTCAGACAGAGTTTGCCTGCCATTACCTAGGGCCAACACACCCTAGTGAGATGGCACATTTTGTCCCTGCCTGCCAATTGTCAATAAGGCTTCTGATTAAAGTGTGTAGATTCTGATTGTCAGTAAGGCTTCTGATTAAAGTGTGTAGATTCTGATTGTCAGTAAGGCTTCTGATTAAAGTCCTGCTTTGACAAATTGTTGGGGTGTTACATACAAAGAATGACTACAGCTACAGAACAACTTTGTCCTTTTTAGTGTGGGGAGGTGTTGGTTTTTTTACTTTCAGCAATGAAAATACCATACAGTGTTGTATCTTTAATTCCATCTTACTGTCAGTACAGACTACTATATATTGAAAGGATTTCTACTATTTTCTTTTGCTTTGGAGTCTTCGGGGGAATATTTTAATCCAAGTTTCCAGTGTTAGATTTCAATCAACCACGAAAATATTCTTGTTGTTATAGGACAGTATAAAATCTGGTTTTGAAACCTCAGATCTGAAGTACACACTAGCATTCATTTAAAAAGCAAAAGGAAGAAACTACATTTTCCTTTCATTATTGATAATATATATTCATTTGCCAACTCCAACTGTGTTGCATAACTGGAGAAAACAGATGAATATTACACTAAATCTAAATTAACGAGGCCCATAGGTGATGTCACATTGTTAGTTGAGGCACGGGTCCAGCAGATACACTTGGAGTAGGCCTGGTTTTTAAATCCAGATGCTTTCACGAAATTCTGTTTAAGTGCCCGGAATGAGCTATGCCTCCTTCACAATGACTACTCAGAAACAAAGAACACCTCAGCCTGAACAAGTTGCTGCCTAGAGCTAGCCAGAGGAAAGCCAAGTATGATCCCCACGCTCGCTGCATGTGATGCATAGGTGTAGGCATGTATCAGTGGAGTGTGAGCAGTAACTGAAAGACCTTTGCTGATCTGGGTTCCAGCCTGGAAGACAGTTGGGCAGGACGAACAGAGAGTCAGTTCTGGCTTTATTTAGGAAAAATGGCATACAGCATTTTGACAAGTAACTTTAATGAGCAGAAGTACCAGTGAAACATTAGTGCTATATTGTGGGATAAAATGCTTCCTAAAGCAGAAGGTCTTGAGCAGCGGTCCCTCTGAAAAAGCAAAGTCGTTATTGTACCCTGGATCTGGTGTTTAGCAAGCCATGTGCCATTGTCCCAAATGCAGAAAGCCACACTCTGACTCCATCTTTATATACACGGCAGTCTCTGTTTTACTTGGCTTGTCAGCAGTTTAGAAAGGAGCAGGCAGGTAATTCACCAAAGGGCACCTGGTCTCTCTGAACACCTCAAGACTTTTTCTCTGTTGTAGAGACGGACTTACCTCTGTGCAATTGCACCAGAGATAATTTTGGCCTGATGTTTCTCCCATTGGTTTTGGGGAACCAATGAAAGCCTGCTGTGTAACTGTGGCACCTAGAGTCAGAAAAAGAAGGGCAAAAATTAGTAAAGACGCACTTGGTGGACTACCCTTTAAAACTCTGGGATTCTTGTGGTTTCTCATGAGCAGTGTAGTATCTCTAAATTTCCACTTCTAGTTAAAAAAAAATAAAATCTTGATATAGCAACAACTTCTATGAGGCTATTTCCTATCTGCAAATTATCTCATAGACAGAAAGAGTTTGCAGTACCCCCTGCCCCACACAAGTTTACAGAATTGGCTTCACTATCTCAAGACATGGGAAACACCTTATTTCTTCTCTTTTAAATGGGGAGGCTGGCAGAATAACTCGTGTAGCTTCTCCCAAGGTTGGTGCAGATCCATTTTGCTCCCAGTGTAACAAAAGGTCTAAATAATCTGCTAATGAGAATAAATTTCTGCCCTGGTTGTGGTTTGAATGCGAAAGCACATTAGACTAGGTTTGGTGTGGAAGCTGAAGAGTGCCTCTAACCTTGCAAGCATTTCACATTTTTGTCACTATAAGCCACTCCAGACTCTTTATTTGTTGCTCTCTCCGTTTCCATATCAATTCCATCAAAAAATCAGATTGTCCCAGTGACAAGAAAATGACTCAGACGTTACAAAACAAAGAGTACATCAGCCATAAATCTGCACTTGCTGAATGACCATCCTTTCAACCTTAATGACGCACAGTGGTTTCAAGACCATTTTGAGTGGTCTGTACGATTATCAAGATGTTTTAAAAGTTGATCCCCAAAACATTTAGTAATGGCATCTTCGAACTGCTATGTCAGACCAAAGTTTGCTAGCCAGCTGGCATTTTGTAATGATTAAAAGGCATAGGGGAAAAAAATGTGTTCTTTTTAAGGAGAAATGGCTCATAGCAAAATAAGAGGAAGTCTTCTCTCATGCATCTGAACCTTTAGCAATCACTCTGCCTTTGCCACACAACACTGTGCTTGGAGCATGGAAATACTGTTAAAAGAAAAGGACTTGGTTCATGAGGAAAATCCACAAAGAGGGATTTCCTCATTCAGGAGAGAGATTCCTCATGAGCAAAGAAATGTTTGGGGACTGTTGGCAAACAGAAGAACTGGAAGAATGCTGGGTCCCACCAACAGATAGGAGCTTGTCTTTCCAACATTTCACAGAGCAACAGCAGAGTGTAGTGTCAAATAAGGCAATTTCAAGGTGGTTTCTTTTTTTGTTTGATGGTAGTGGCATTTTTTTTGTTTGCTTTATTGTTTACTAGACTTTTTCATAATTTCACTTTCTTCTTTCCGTAACATACTGTTCTTTTTCCCTTAGTTGTAGAAAAAATGGACAATGTGACAGGTGGCCTGGAAACGTCCCACAGAAGATATACAGAAAAGCTCACAGAGGTGGAGAGTGATCTAAAGAAATTAGGTAATCTACATACAAGCAAAGGACCTTTGTCTTATGGCTTTGGGGTGTTCTTCTGGCAGATAGTGGCAGGAAATGTGTCTGAGAAATCTCTGGCTATGACAAGATACAGCACTTCTATTTCAATTTCTCGAGTACTTGGGAAAGCACTTAAAATAGTTAAGATCAGCTCTACTTAGGACAGCATTTTAAGCATACTTCAGTGTTTACAGTTCCCACTGAAGTCACTCTGAAATCATTTATACTAAAATAAACAGACACTTAAAGGTTGTCCTCAGTAGAGAGTCTTTTCTGAGGTAGAGATGTAAAACATGGCAGAAGCCGTTCCACAGCACAAGAGATTCCACAGAAAATGAAGATCTGTCTCCCAGTCATCTTGAGGCTGGTTTAGCAATCAAGATTCAAACCTGAAGGCCGTTTTAAGGGCTACACAAATAATCAGCTATTGAAAACTCTTATGTCTGAGGCAAGTTGATTACTTCTATAAAATGTTTCTTAATCATCTCAGGGAATACAGGACACAAGGTTGTTATGAGTTCAGGTCTCCCAAGTGCTTTCACAGTTCTCAATTTGCAAGAAGATGGAAAAAAATCATGGTTAAGGATTCTACTCACTCAGTGTACATTTCTACTTTTGTTCCTTGTTTGGAAAGGAAGCAGAGTTGTTTATTATAAATTTATATACATAGACTTATAATTTTTTATTATTTGTTTTTATATAAATATTAATATGCACACACATGCATGTGTTTCTTGAAATAAGTTTTGTTTAGCTTCATAAACCATATACTGAGACAAGTATTTCTAGGAAAAAATACGTGCTTGCAGCTTGATCATAAATTTTTACAACTTGTTCCCTACAAAAAATAACTGGATTCTGAAGTACTTTCATGCTGCATTTAGTTCAAAGACATGGAGTAATTCAGTGGCATGCACTTTTCCTGATACATAGACAGAAGTAAATGTTACACCTTAAAGCACATGCAACCTTTTGGGTTATATTTGGGTTATTATATTATGCTGATTAAATTTTCACAACTTGGAGCACCTTTGATTCGTTCACGCCCACACATTTTTACATGCTGCTGGATGGATGGCCAGTGAGATGCTCGGGACCATCAGTTCCCATTTAAGTGGAGGAAGTGCCACGGAGGAAGTAAAAAAAGTTATGAGGCAATGTGTGTGGGAGGCATAAAGGTAAGCGAACTGCTGTAGGGCCAGATGGGTAACAGCATGTGGTGAATGAAAGACAGGCCTTCAGGGATTAGCTGTATGTGGACCTGGCAGTTGTCAGAGCTGTGTGAGGAACACAATATAATTTGAGCTGTAACCAAGAGGTAAACATAGAGTCAGAGCTGAGAAGATCCTGGAGTCTAGACAAGTGGTAGGGAGAGGAACTGTGCTTGGGAAGACGTCCATCCACAAAAGACTTCATAAACATTTCAGACTAAAGACTCACGAGCCACCTTTTGATGTTCACCATCACGACTCATTCAGATACCCCAGAAGAAGGCTCCATACAGAGTTGTATTCACTGTAGTTTATGAAAACCACTCTGACCTCTCTTGGAGTCATCTTTAATAATGGACTTCAGACTGGATAATTCATAAATATATCTATACTTAGATGAGGACAAAAATATATGGACTGTGTGTAGGAGAGGGAAGTGATTGAGGTGCAAGAAAGGGAATCTTCCCTGAGAGTGAGTGTTGACTGCTTATTTCCTTGGTTTCCATGTCCTGCCTGATGAGCTGTGCTGCCTCAAAAGCTTAATCATACTCAGGCAAGCTCCCAGAAGTATACTGTAGGGCAGTGTAAGCAAGAGCAGAGATGTTCCTCTAAGATTAAAGGTTTTGCCTTCCTGAAGCTCAGAACATGAGGAAACAATAATAGCAAAATAAATGTCATTAAAAGCAATAGTAGTATGTTAGAGAGAAAAACAGAAATACATCATATCCTGTCATATCTGGAGTAGCCTGCTGGCAAAGCTTTTCTCTCTAACCCAGATTGTTTTAAAATAGGTATTAGAAATTTTTAAAACTAAACCCAAGAATTTAAAAAATGAAAGGGTACATACTAAATCACAGTGAAGATATTTCACCTGCCAGGAAAAGGAGAAAGAAAATATGAACAGCTAAAATTTACCTCTGAGCTTTCAGCAATAGCCAGCTGTAAATTCAAATCATAAACTTACTGATAACTCTTTAATATTTTGAATTCTGCTTACAATCCAGTTTGCATTGAAAATACAAGCACTGCTTGTCTGAGTGTATTCATTGGTTTCTAATGGTAGTTTTTCCTGTGTATGATAACAGAATCACCATTTTGTCCTCATCAGCAAGACACAAGATCTTCGTCTCTTTGATTTTTTTCTCTGTCTAGTGGCAGGACTTTCCTTAGTGGTTTCTCTTTTCTGGAATAGATAGCATAGAAGTTCTGTTGACAGAACATTTTGACAATCTGCCTGTACTTAAAATGGACTGTGCTTTTTTATAACGTGTTTTAAAATACTCATCCTAAAGCTTTTAAATCTTTTTCCTGTACAACAGATGACCAAGCTGGACAAAAAGCCATGAATACTAACACTGAACTGTCTAGCTTCAGATCTGACATACTGGCTCTTCGTCAGCAGCTTCATGACATTGCAGAGAAAACTACCAGAAACAAAGATACACTGGAGAAGCTGCAAGAGTCTGGAAATGTATTAGATGATAGACAGAACCAAATGAGAAGTGCCTTAGATAGTAACTCTTTTATGATCATCAGTGTCAATAAGACTCTTCAGGCATATACTGGCTATATCAACAATCTTCAACAGGACACAAGTAATATTCAAACAAACTTGCAAAACCAAGTGCATTCTCATAATGTGGTCATCATGAACCTGAACAACTTAAACCTGACACAAATACAGCAAAGAAATCTTATCAGTGTCCTGCAGAAGTCAATGGAAGATACAAGCTTAGCTATTCTAAGAATCAAGAATGACTTTCAAAATCTGCAGCAAGTTGTCCTTCAAGCCCGGAAGGACACTGACTGGCTTAAGGAGAAAGTACAAAATTTGCAGACTTTGGCCGCCAACAACTCAGCATTGGCAAAAGCTAACAATGATACACTTGAAGACATGAACAATCAGCTCAGCTCCTTCAGTGGGCAAATGGAGAATATCACCACAATTGCCCAAGCCAATGAGCAAAATCTAAAGGATCTCCAAGAACAGCATAAAGAATATGAAAACAGAACTTCTGCCAAATTCAACCAGCTAGAAGAGAGGTTCCAAGTCTTCGAAACCGATATAGTCAATATCATTAGCAACATCAGCTACACTGCTCATCATCTACGGACACTGACTAGCAATCTTAATGAGGTCAGGACAACTTGTACAGACACCTTAAGTAAACATTCAGATGAGCTTATTTTTATGAACAGCACACTAGCCAATATTCGCTTAGACTCTGCATCTCTCAAGATGCAACAGGATTTGATGAGGTCAAGGTTAGATGTTGAAGTTGCCAATTTGTCAGTAATCATGGAAGAAATGAAACTGGTGGATTCCAAACATGGCCAGCTCATCAAGAACTTCACTATCCTACAAGGTATGCAGCTTCTCTAATGATACCCATAACAGTCTATGCTCAATGCCTGCGTGCATTGCTTTAGTTATGTGGAAGTTAGTTAGTGCATGCTGGTACAGAGTTTTCCATTATCTGATCCTAAACTTTGGAAATGTAAATGTAGCTTGGATATTCCTTACAATTTTTCCTATGCCTTCTCTACATACCTAGAATAGGGATGTTATGAAAGTAGGTTCTGACTTAGCAAAATTTTATTCTGAGTGAATGACTGACTGGATCTGCTTTTGATTTAGTTTCTAAAATAAGCTAGTGAAGGTGTGGAGCCTCAAGAAACCAATCCCTGCTAAGGAGGAAATGGCTAAAAAATATATGTTGGACTATTCCCAGAAAGGTCCACCCTTACTGAAAAACAAGTTGCTATTTCACTTTAAGCCAGTTGTTAGTCTGCCAGAAAACATCCTACTTTGCTTAGTTTTTAATCCTGGGATATTTCACTTTCTCCAGAAATAAATAGCATGGAGTTTAGGAGGCTTCTCCCAGCCAAGTATTATCCCAAATGAAAAGAACGTTCATATTTTCAACCTGATGTGAACCAGTCAGGCCTAAAACTCTAATCACAAATATAAATCCATTGCTCCAAATAAACTAAGGCTGATATAGAGCCAAGATTACACGTCAGTAACCTTAACCTTTCTCATTTCAGCCAGGCCTAAGTGACTCCAGGTTAGGAATTTATCTCTGGAGAAGTTTAAATGATGTAGGATGGTGGGGGT